CCCCGTGGCGGAGACCGCGGTGCCCCGGCTCTCGGCTGAAGGCTCCGAGCGCGGCCCGGGTGCTGACCGCGGCCTGTCGGTTTGGCTTTTTGACAGGGTGAAATTGGAAGAGGTGGTGGCAGATGATTCCGAAGAGGTAGACCACGGCTTCTTCTGTACCACAAGGCAAGACAAAAAAAGGCATGGAGAAAAGCTGGAGGAGGAAGGATCGCCTAGAAGCGAAGAAGACAGGCACAAAAGGGAAAAGAAAAGGAATAAACATAGTCCTGAGTATTCCTCTTGTAGGGAAGAAACCTCTGTAAATAGTTGGGACTCTCAAAAAAAGTACAAGAAAAGAAAAAGGAAGGAAGAAATTAGTGGAAGAGAGAGACTCACAGAAGGTAAGGAGGAGAGCTCTACTGACCAATTAAAAAAGCTTAAAAAAGCAGAGAGGGAGAAAGAGTTGGCAACAAAAAGGAAGGATGGAAAGCACACAAAGGCCACTGGAGCAAAGATGGGTTTAGAACAGATGAATGACAGCTTTTCTCTAAATTCTGGTAAAAATAACACCAAAAAAATCACCACACAATCCAGGAACAAGAGGGTAGGACCTTCAGATTCAGATTCCTCCAGCACATCATCTGACACTGACAGCAGCGAAGTAAATGTAAAGCAAAATGAATCTTCCCATAAACCTGTGGTGGCAACGCTTCCCAGAAACGCATCCCAAGTTGCTGCAAATTCTGATGTGAAAACTGTTGTTTCTGGTAAAGTGACTGCAAAGTCTAAAGCTGAAAACTCCACTAAGACTGCAGTTAGTAAAAAATCTAAAAAGGCCGAGTGCTCTAGTTCAGATTCTGACTCAAGCGCAGAGGATGACAAAGTGGCAACAGCACAAAACAGTAGCACAAAGAAAAAGCCATTGCCTAATAATGCAGCCGCTGTAAAAAACAGTACCCCGAAGGCTCCCAAAGCACAGGCCTCTTCTTCAGAGTCTGATAGTTCAGATTCAGAAACAGTTGTTAAAAAACCCAAAGCAAATGCTGGACCAAGTAATTCTGTAGTAAGAAACAGTGATAAACAGTCGCCAGCCAGCGTTCAAGGAGCATTTCCCAGCCCAGCTCTTGGAAGGGGGCGAGGAACAGGAGATGAAAACTTCTGGAGAGGACCGAGGGGCCGCGGGTTTCGCGGGATGACGAGGGGCCGCGGCCGTGGGAGAGGAGAAAACCAGGGCTTTTTCTATAACTACGAAACTGAAGGCCAGAAACAGAGGCAGTTAAATGAAGCAGTGACAAACACTTCAGTTCTTGTGCAGGTGAGGGACTTACGCACTCGTTAGTCACCTTTCTCTTGCAGTTTGAACTGTACAAAGATGATGTATAAGATGTGCATTGTTATAGAAGCAGAAAGAGATTATAGTCTTTTGATGTAATAAACCTCATAGTTAGAGTATTTCTGTTTAGCAGCCTGAGGAAGTGTTTATGAAGTAATATTTAAATGACTGAATTGTATTTCTTAATACAAAACACTTAAATCTGTACCTTAACCTTCTCAGAATTTCCTCCAGTTCACACAGCACAAACATTGTCTTCTGTTTTTATTAATACAGTAATTACATCAGTAGGTTTACTGTTTCTTTCACAGAATCCTGTGGAGGTCCCCAAGAGAAACTATAGCGTATTACCTCTTCTAGCTGCCCCGCCACAAGTGGGAGAAAGAATTGCCTTTAAGGTAAAGAACTTGTGAACTCTAGAATGTTAGTGGGCTGAAAATCTTTCATTTGGGCCACTATAAATTTTGCAGGACATGATACAGATAGCAGAGTCCTGACAGCCAAAAGCTTACACTGAGGAGTTTCAGCTTGCCTTGTTGTGGGACTGTTATCCTAGAAATATAAGAATTGGGAATCCGTACAGTGCTCTTTGTCCTAACTATTTGTTCTTTTTTCAAGATTTTGTTTTAAATTTAAGCAGGGCCTTCAGAACCTAAGACTTCTGATCGTGTCTAATGTTTGTAGGCATCTTTGAAATTGTTCACTCCTCTCTTACTGTCTTTCTAATCTAGTAGTTTCCCACGTAATAGAAAATATTACAGTTTCTGTTGTTGGCTTTACAAATATTTTAGCCTGAGATGTCTAGCTTCAATTTTGCTTTGATTTTAGAAGGGTTTTGAGCACACGCATTTAAGTGAAATGCACCGTCTTTGAACTTACTGACTTTGCATAACATAAGCAAAGAAACGTTATCTTCACTTTTGTTTCAGTGGGAATTTCCACATACGTTTGTGCAGTGACTCTCTTCCCTATCACACAGGTCACTCCCCAGATAACCGAACTTTCCTGGTTGCTCCTTCACAAAACGTCTCTCTCTACCGTCCGCGTTTTTCCAAGGTTTATGTTTAAAAAAGAATGCCCTGAAGAAGCATGTTACCCTTCTCTTTGTTACATATAAGGAAAGTCAGGATTAAAACTAGCTGCTATAAAAAGAAAAAAATTCCCTATGTTGTTATTTTTCCCTAGAGTGTTTCTATGTACGGTTGCAAAATTTGCCTTACAAGTAATTATACTTCACTGCAAAATAAAAAAAAAAAAAACAAAGAAAAGTGAAGTCACTGCAGCTAAGGAGACTGGGATCCTTCTCCCTGATCTCCTTTTACAGCCTGACCTGAATGGAAATCCTCTGGAGCAGCGAGTCCTGGAAGACTGGCTGGGACTGTGATAGGCGTCAGGATGCAGGAGTGGGAGGCTCAGTTCTTGCACTTTTCTCTTGCTGAGGAAGCCACGTCTGGGTATAGGTAGCATCATCAAAGATCTGGAGAAGTTGTCACTTCTTATTTGTGTTTCTTTCAACAGCGCTTGGAACTAACTGATAATTACAGTCCTGAAGTTTCAGACTATAAGGTATTTGTTTTTTTTTTTTTCTTAATTCACTTGCAGGACTGTCATAGGCCAGATGAAGCTTAAATGTTTTGAGGTTGTACAGTATCTTTTGTCTCCTTCAGTTGACTGCACGCTGTTCGTGGTGCTGCAGTAAAAATTAAAACTCTAAAAACCAAACTAATAAAAAAATGTTGAAAGCTGTGGTAATTTTTAAAAAAATGCAGATACTACTACTCATCATTGATATTTTAAAGAGAGGACAAAAAAGGCAGACCTTCAGGTAGAAAGATACAGCCATCCTAGAATAAAAAAAATACAAACATCCTTTAGCTGTTTGTTTGAAGTCGAGGCAAATTCTTGAAACTGGTGCAAGTAAATTTTGTAGCTCCTTCAAATAACTTGGTTTCTGGCTAAGTAATGATTATAACTACAAGGACTGAGGGAATGAAAATCCTCAGGTTTACTGCTGCTACTAAGTGCAGATTGTTGAGCTCTGATACTTTGCAGAATTTTCGCACTGAGATAGAAAAATGTAACAAACGTACTACTTCTGATTGTGCTTAAATATCATAGTAGTTGTAATAGTTATCCCATTCTGAAGTATACCATATCTGATTCTTTTCTTGTTGTTTTATGAAGGAGGGGAAAATAATCAGTTGGAACGCTGATAAAAAACAGATAGAGCTTGAGATCCTTTCGTCGCCCACAGGCAAGTAAACGTACCCTAGGATGCTGAACGGCTCTTGTCACATATGTTCCTGGAAGACGATGGTTCTGAGGCAAACTTCCTGTTTCAGGAATATTTCCAGTTTCCTCAGGTTCCTTCTCACTCCCTACACCCCCCCAAATCTGCTTAAATACAGAAGGTTTGACACTTGCTCGTTCTTGAAGCTGTTCGTATATATTTGCAAAATTCAATTTGTTCAGTCAGTATGAGCAACAGTAACTCACTTCCAGGTAGAACTGTTGTTTCATATCCTGAAAGATTAAAATAATTATACAGAATTACGGAGAAAATTTTAGGTCCTGACGCTGTTTTTGTGAAGTCCGTGAAGCCGCTGTCTTCATTGAATGTGGAACTGAGTCCTTATAGTGACAAAACACACTTCAAAGACCTGAAATTATGCGTGTGTATACTGCTGTTGCCATTTAAACCAGCATTAATAAATCATCATCCCATGAACTTTTTTCTCAAATTTATGTAGCAGATTGTCAATAAGCTTTTCCTCTATGCACTGTAGTGATTAGATAATTACTTTAATTTTGGTTTGTAAAATTCAGTTCTGTCTCAAGATTTTTCTTTACCATTATAAACATTATGGATGTGGTGTAAGTTTTGAACTCAAAAGATATTAAAGAGCAGTCTCAACCCACATAAATTACAAATGTAAGGAGCTGATGCTATGTTGTGGAGTATGATAAAGCATAACACAGATACAAAGTCATGTAGCTCAGCTGATTCTCTGAACCACTGGACATGAATTATTGCAGCTGTTTGGAGTAATCACTGAAAAACCGTGCTTGACTAGCTTTCTAAATGTTGTAAAAATGTATGTCCTCTTGTTTATGGTTAACTGAATTGGGGTATTTTTTCTTTTGTGTTGTTTCTCTCTCTCTCTCTCTCCTTCTCTCTCTCTCTCTTTTTTTTTTTTTTTTTTTTTAAATTTTAAGTGGCTAAAGAGCCAGGGAAATTCGATCTGGTTTACCAGTCTGCAGATGGAGCTGAGCTGATAGAGTACGCTGTTTCTCAGGATACAAAGGTACGTGACTGTCTTGTTTTGAAGACTGTAGTGATTTTTCACATTAATGATATGTTCCCTGATTTATGATGCTGTTCATTTCAGGGAGATTTCTTTTATAGTGCATCTGATGAAAATACGTAAAAACAAAAGTAATTGCTCCTTTCTAGTGAGAGTGCATATGATTACAAGGTAACAATCACTTCTTCCGTGTTGTTCAAAAAGCAGTCATCAAATTGTGTAACTTTTTGTTTTGGTTAATAAAATAAATAATAATATGTCTAGAGTATCAGTTCATACAGGCTTACTCACTTGATGTACTGGGTAAGGAAAGACGCAGGTAAGAAAATAATACAACATGAGATTTGAGAGTCATTAGGAAGATCCCTAAATCACAGAAAGAGTCTGTGATCTTTGTTTAGTAGTGCTGCTGTTCAAGTCCAGACAAAGCATAACGCAGAAGAAATTCCCATCTACCTATGTAGCTTATACATGCTAAGTATTTTCTGTATTTTTCTTTCAGATAACTGAAAGTTGGGATGCATTGATAGAGCCGAGACTGATCGTTGAGCCTCCAGTTGATGGATTGAGCACTGAAAATGGAAAAATCTAAGATATGAATAAATGTAAATAACTGTATGGACTGTTCCGTGAAGCGCTACCTTCTAGTTCTGAAGACAGCAGATCCACTGGTGGATATTTTTAATGAATGATTTTTAAATGAAATTATGCCAAAAGAAAAATAAATACTTTGTTTTTTTCCCTTAGGACATGTTTTTATTTAATATAGGAGTGCTTTGTTTAATATAGGAAATATTTTTTTATAGAAGCTTAGTAACAATTTTTATGTCCTACGGTTCTGAGTTGCAAAATTGGAACAATTTGCTCAAAGAGATACAGTAAGACTCTCTGGTACTGTCAGTAGCTCCGCTTTGTCTGGCCGAACTAGAGTAGTATAACTGGAATACAGAGGTAACTCGCTGTGAGGATAATTTAAAACAGCATTAAAAATTAAATTGAAGTATTACTGATAGACACTTTCTTTTCCTCCACAGCTACAGGGCACGATAAAAATGCTGTGACTTTGTAGTTGTATAAAGGGTTCATTTGAACACGTCAAGAAAAGATTTATTGATATTAAGCTTCTGTAATTTTGAGAGCCGATAAATAGTATTGGTAAGTGAGAACTTTATCTAGAACCAGTGGAACATAACATGAGTCCCGGGCAAAATTATGTCCCAGTGTATTAATGTGTGTAGGCTCTGAAACTTTTCAGCAAACCCTTTTGCTGTTTCAGTGCTGAAGTGTCTGTCCCGACTCTCTTCTTTCCTTCCTAATACCAGAATGGGTCACCAGGTGGTGGCAGTGCGTTTCACTGACATCTTTGGTCACTATTGGCATCCAGGTAGTAGGTAGAACTCCTACCCGAGAGATACTGTGCTTTGCCAATATGTAATCTTAGTTTAAGTTGATCCTTGTTCCAGATAATTGACTCTAAAGCAGAAGATAGGAAAAAATATCTGGATACAAACTCCTGAAAAATTGTACATTATTGTTTAACTAAAATATATTGTCTGGCTAATGCATGGTTATATTAAAATATGATATACCTTTGCATTATTCCTGTTAAAATGTCTTGTTCATGAAAATTACTTATATATGAGTAAAACTTTAATTTCCATGCTGCATTTCTCTTCAGTTGCCATTATTTTATGTTAAAAATTGATTTTAAAGCAATTGACAGTTGGATTCATGTATGGATGGTCTTGCAAACTGGACAAAAAGTAAATCCCAGCCATTTCAGCACAATCCAAGACAGGATTAATAGATCAAAGTTGTGGTTTTTTGTTTTATTTTGTTTTTTTTTTTAAATGAGAATGAGAAATGAAAAATGTATTGTAAAATTGCAAACATTAAATGCAAATCTTCTGTAGCATTTTAGAGGAGGTCTCATCTCTTGCTCCATTGCCTACAGTGCATTTTGGCTACAGATTTAAGATCTGAAGTCCCTCTGGCTTCTAGGATCGGATCATGGTTGAAAACAAATTACGGCAGAGAGAGAATGTTTTGAAGATAAAACCTTGAGTTTTATTTGTTCGCTGCTACCAAGTTAGTGTGAAACTGTACTGTTTCAACGCACAGTTTAAATCACATGCAGTCTGTGACAGCGAAGGCTGACTGTCCTTCCTGTCACACCACTGTCCTCCTCTGACAGAGCCACACAACAGGATCCTCCTACCTGGGGAGCTGGGGCAGGGCTTGGCAGTGGTTAATGGGTGAGAAATGCAGCATAGGACTGGACGTGCATGTGTATCCCAGAGAGAGCCAGTGATGCTCTGCACAAACCTTTCATGCTTTCTTCTTTCTGTCCCTGGGGTTTTGGGCTCCTTTGCAGGCCTCTCTACTGGCACAGTCCCAGCTATCATGTGAGATGCTTGGCCACCCTCTTGTGTGCAATTTAGTGTTATGGGTTTGTTTGTTTAAAAAAATTCTATCTTAAATTTTGGATAAGTAGAACAGTTCTTCTGTACTCACAGTTTCGTTATGTCATGCCTTTCTCTTCATTTGTGTGATAGTGATCATACTAATCTGATGACTCAAAAGGTATGTGCATGTTTGAGCTAGCAAGCTAAAGTCAAACAAACTGGGCAGGACACTGCAGATATGATGAGCACCTGCAGCTAGAGGCTGGCAGCCAACAGCTATGGAAGAGACCTGGAGTTTCCTGCTGTGACTACAGACCTTTCAAAAACACATCAAGTGTCAGTATTTATAATTGTGATGTGTGAAATCACAATTGTCTAAACCATTTAAACCCAAAGACATGGTAGAGGGCATGAGAATAGCTGTCTGATGTTTGCTCAGTCGGGTGTACAAAAGAAGTTTGTTCTGCTCTGCTTATGACTTCATGCTCAAAGTTTGAATGCAGTTTCAATACACGATATCTGGGCAAAGGGTCCGATTTAACCGGGAAGCATATGAAGAAAGTCTCAAGTGATAGCAAGGAAGTAAAGAGAGTAATAACTTTGATAGTTAAGTGGTAAAATTCTTCAGTAATTTTTAATGCTAAACATTGTTTTTAGACAACAGGAGTGGTAGGTGCTTATTCAAAATAGAATTTTAAGTCCCCTTTGACAAAGATGAACTTAAATTGCTCATTTGAGCTCTAAATGTCCCATAAGCATGTTCTGCTCCATAAACAAAAAACTGTAAAGGTATATATTTACCTTCCTGCTTTATATGCATTAGCAGATATCAGGTGAATGCTGCTGAAAATAAAAGTGAAGGTGCAAAGTATTTGAAAGTTGACAGTGGCTTAACCTAGATAAGCCCAGGAAAAAGTGCATCTTCCACCTACAGAAAAATAAGAAATGTGAATATTAACAGCTGCTCTTTAGTCCCAGCTCTGGTAACATACAGCACAATACATCTCTGTAACAATGTTTCTTCTACAATCACTGTCAACTACCCATTTCTCAGGTATCTTCAGGTGTTTGTTAGCATTCCCTCTGACAAAGGTTTCACGGTCCTCATTTAGATAGCCCAGCCACGAGTGGAGCCATGCCACCGCCCCTAGAAACCCTTCCACCCTTGAGCAAATTACAGAGGCAGTCCCTGAACTGGTGCTCCCCTCCGCCAAAGCCCTGAATGCCTTCTGTTGCCCCTTCTGCCTCTAAATCACTAAGCAGTGAGTCAGAGTCCGTGACTGAGGGCGGCTGCCCTGGCCCCGGGCAGCACCGGCTGCCGAGCCACCTCGCCCGTGGGGCC